GGGGGGTTAGGCAGTCTTGTCATGGATTTGACAGGCTTTCATGGAGCAAGAAAATGTTTAAATGGAGACACAGCCACAAGGAGGTGCCAGCTGTAGTTTTATCTGCTTGGATCCTGTATTAATGTGTATTGCTTTAGGGTAGTTGACTGCAGCAAATGTTTAGGGTATATGCTAGGGACTAGAGAATTGGCCATGCACTGATCGACTTTCAGACAGTTCTTGATGAACCTTATGAAATTTGTTCTATGGGTGGCCCTGTCAGCAGCTTCCTACCAGAATTATCTTTCAATCAATCTCAGGAGCTAGGTTGTACTTGGCTGCACTTCACAAGTTCTGCATCTCCCTCTTGCTTTATTAGATGGAGACAAAGCCAGGCCAGTGAATGAATGCTTTACATGCTACCCTCATAGTCGGCACTGAACAAAAATCAATTCTAATCTGAAGTTGTGTCCTAAAGGCCATAATTCAAAAGCAGTTTCTTTTCAAGCCTTAGTATTTACAACAGCAGGAGCCCTTTTATTGGAGTCACCCCCACCCCTTTTAAAGGCGATCTTCTAGAAGGATAATCTAAATGCATAGCCAAGTAATATGCAATTGAATAAAGTGCCAAGTCTAGATCAAATGGCAAAAGTTCAATTGATTGAAATAATGGCAACAATTCACATGTGCACACACTACATATAGGATTAATGAGTGCTATGCCAACAGTCTTTGGTTCACATTGCACTGGTTTTGTATACCAATCTATGGTATTAAGAACCCCACTTGAAGCAGGATGAGAAGTCCAACTGCAGGTCAAAGCCTTCTGATTTTAGAAGAGCTTAACTGATGCCATCACCACAGGCCCTAGGGATACCAAAAGCATTTTGTCAGCAGGTAAAGCAACAAACAGGTATGTTAAAGTGACACTAAACCCAGGAGTTAAATCCTAAAAATTAAAGTATATGAACTATTAACAATACTGTAATTTATTTGTATCACTTGGCTGCAGATAGTCCAATCATCTGTGGATTGGTGCTGACACACTCCTTCTGGAGGGTGACTACTTTTGTTCCCCAAGGTCCCTGTGTTAATTAGCCACCAGTCCAAGCCAACTCCCATTATGGACTTGCAGTCCTGTGTTTTTTTTAGTTTACTAATTTGTATTGATTAGTTGATGGGAGTTGGCCTAGACTGGTGGCTACTTTTCAACACACGGGGACCATGGGGATTGAAAGTAGCCACCTTCCAGAAGGGACAGTGTCTGAATTCAAAGGATTTGGCGCTCTACAGCTGAGTGCACAAATAAGGTCCAGTATTGTTACTTAAGGTACTTGTATGATTAAATGCATGAGTATAGTGTCACTTTAAGGGTCAATTAACAGAAATAAGAACCTAGAATATTGCTGTCCTGATCTGTCCTTGGCCATTGCTGATTTTGCAAAAAGCACATGTGGTATCAAGAATTATGTACAACATGCAAATCTTCTGATTTGTAGCTGTGTAAGGCTAGTTTGAATTAAACTAGGACAGTGAAAAACTATATGGCAAACCATACGTCCTGTTAACATCCAAAAGATACATTGGTGGTTAAGCGTCTGGGTATCTCGTATGTGAGGTTTAGTTGATAATCCCTTAAATGGCCTGTTTTTTGCATGCTGCTATAACAATTTTATCTCAAAGTTAATAAATGAGATGTTTGCAAAGACTGCAGTTTAGTTTCTTATGGTTCATCTCCAATATGACAAACATCCTTTTATATAAGATAGGAAGACTAGCGCATGCTCCCAGATGCAGAGGTTACACCTAATCATTGGATTAGTGCCAGACTTATCTGAAACCACCCCTAGATTCTTTAAGGAATAGGATGACTTGACAATTTCTGTATGGCACATGTAATTACTGAGCTGAGAGAAGCATGCCCTGGCATGGTGGCTTCTATAAAATGATCACATGCACACATAGTACTATTCTTGAAAGTGGGAAGCTGATGCATACATTTTTGGTGTTGTATCTTTTCACTCTTTCTGACCTGAAACAGGTAGAGACTATTGACGGTATTGAAGTACAAAATTGGATCCTCATGGAATCCAGTCAAATAACTTTTACTAGAGATCTGCAGTGGAAACCACCTTTTTCATTTGCAGGCATGGTCAAGTTTATGCCATGTTTCAAGCTTTTATCCTAACTTGTCCACTGCTCACAAAGTATTAAGTCTTAAAGGGGGGATGTAAAACAATATTGCTCTAGGTGGTGTGATTAAGCCTGGTCTTGGAGCTGATGAATGAAAATTGTATATAGGAAACATTTGTTTCCCATAGCAACAATACCTTCTATAATACCTTCTATAATATCTTCAGTCCAGATTTAAAAATGGAGCAATGGTTGTTTACTGTGTAGTAGTAACCTTTTATACATCAGACCCATTGCAGTATCATGCTCAATGTCCATTGTCATTGGCACTTATATAAATTAACCGCACAAAGATGTGTGACATGACATGCATAACCATCAAAACATGCATATCGAACACGGACTGCTTAGTTTCTGTTATGATGTATCTCATAAAGCCATAGCAACTCCCCATGCTAAAATACAGTAGTTTACCATGTGGAGTTGTAGTGTCTAACTGCTGGATTATCAGATGCTGAAAATATATAAATACCTTTTACAAAACAATATTTTGTAGATTAACATTTCCAGTTGCCCTTCCACCCCACCCCTGATGTCATTATGAAAAGGCTGTGTTTGCTAGTTATACTACAGTGCATATGCCTTTTTATCTCCAGTCTTCACTAAAACTTTGCATTGCCCATATCAAATAGTTTAACATTTCCAAGCCATCCCTTTTTATTTAAAAACTTCACAAAGCAGAACTCCAGCCAAAAGATGTACAGTGACTTCACAAGAGGCAGCTGTTTTGAAAGTTTCAATTGATTTGCCCCTTCCTTCACGGTCACTGTCTGTAAGGGCAGGTTCACACCATTTTACAGACCAGATCTGGAACTCGGTGCATTGGGTTTTGCTGCATTCCGGAGCGTTTTTTTCCCTTTTGTTTGAAATGGGCTTTCAGTTGTGTTTGTGTGCCATCTTAATGTGTTTCCATACATTCCTGACAAAATGAGACGTGCAGTATTTTTCTGGTCTGGAACGGACTGCGCTGGTGTAAACCAGAGGCCAGAAATAGCATAGGTATACATTAGGATGCAATTTGGGTCTGGAGATAATCTGTGTGTGGTGTGAATGGGCCCTAAAAGGTACATTCACTTTTACAAGTGAATCGAGGAGAATGGAATTGCTTACTCCAATCTGGCAGTCCATGGTATGGATTGTACACCCGTACCAGCGGAGGGGAAAGGACATTCTTTGAAAGGCAACTATTGTGGAGAGTGGGCCAGATTTCAGCAGGTAATTCCATTTTCTCAAATTCACTCGGGAAAGTGAACTTACCCTTTCCCAATGGCTGTTGAAGACCAGGTTCTGAGGGACAGGGTGATCTGAAAGCAAAGAAGTCTACTTCTTGCAAAGTCTATCATTGTACATGAAAGGCATAATTAACTTGGTATGAGTCTTGGGACTTTAAGCCCAGGGGTTTCTCTGTGGGCCGGATCTTCCTCTTCCTGCAACGGGGTCTGGACCAATATTTGGCTCTCAGCCCTATCAAGGTTCTGGTTTCTGCCCTTTCTGAGATAATTTAACTCCCATGTGCATGTGTGGGAGTTACATCAGTGAGGCCCGACCAAACAGCTGAAGAATCAGAAACCCACAACAAAACCTGGAGGATGGAAATGCTGGTGAAGGAGGTGCGCAGCCAACCCTTGGTACCCCCAGTGGAACAAACACCACACTGCTAGAGAGTGTTTTAAGAAAACAATAACAATGTGTTTGGGTTTATTAGGTACACAGTGACGGAATGCATGGGGTTATAGCTACCAACATCAACATTTTGGATAAAATGTACAAATATATTTTGGCAGGAGCACACCATCTTTTTAATAGAACAGGGGTGCCAAGCATTTCTGATCAGGATTTCCAGATGCATCCTAATAAACATCTATAAGATGTAAGTTCATTGTACTACTGTGTATCCTTATATTGATATCCGTGTACCGTCTCCTTTTCTTTAATTGGATCTACTGTCCACTTTTCCCTTCTTCCTCTGATGGCTCACCAGCCTCCATTATAACCTCCATAAGCTGTGTAAAGTCTCCCTCAGCTAGACTGATGCCTGAGTCTTTGGGGGAGGAACACTGTGTTCCATGCTGCTCTTTGCTACTTCCATCAGAGATTGCATCTGTCAACCCATGAGAGCTTCTGGAAGCCCTTTGCAAATTTGGGGAGTTTACTGGGGAAAATGAAAAAATGGAATGAGATGTCTTGTAACCTGGAGTGTGCCGAATATCAGGTGAAGCTAATGCTTGGTTTCCTAGAAGTAATGCAGAGACACCTTGGGCTCTTGCTAATCTTCTGGGGACCTGTATTGGGCTCTGTACAGGCTGTTCAGTGGTTTTCATAACAGGAACACTTTCACTGCTGCCCATGTTGGCTTCCTCCTGGTCTTCCATACTCCCCTGGGGCCACACAAAGCACTCCTTGGACCCAGGAGAAAGACTGGATGTCTCTTCTGTATTTTCACTACACGTCCCCATCTTTTTGTTACGTTGTGGTGGGCATACATTGGTTGTCCCATGCACAGAAAAGCGAGAAGGACAGAACGTAGGACCTCCATTTAGTGGCGTTTGAGGGGCACTGTAAAATCCAGGCCTCTCATAAAAACGTGTGCTCATGAAAACATTAAGGTCACGTAGGGCTTCCCCGCCCCTGGGGTTTCCAGTATCTCTATGATTAAAATTATGCAGCACAGGAGGAATTCCACTCCTGCGTCTCATCAGCAGGCTCAGTCGTGAGTTAGAGCGAGGTGGGCTTGGGGAATGAACACCCAAAAGACGCCCCAGGGGCCCAAGCAGTGGTGTCGAATGATTGGCTTCTTCATGTTCATTAATTTGCTCAAGTGGTGGAAATTCCAAATCCTCTTTTTGCAAACTGCAAAAAAGAAAAAAGCATTTTCATTTAGAATTGATATTTCTGAGATCATCTGTGGAATGGTTTGTGCTTCCTTGGGCTGCTTAGCCTTAGCCAGTCCTGAAGGAACTGCTCCACCCTCAAATTTGAAACAGACCCATCATAAGGCTATAATAGTAAAATGTATAATTCAAGTATAAAATAATATTTATATGAATATATATTTTCTTTTGTACTATTATATTGTTCCTAATTGTCCAATTACCATGTGCACATGCAAATGTATCTCCCCTTATAGCTCTTCAGCATGTCATAGCTGTGTAAGATGGGACAGTTAAAGGATGTGTATAGCACAAATGTTTTTTTTAAAGTTTTGAATAGTAGGGAAGAATTAGAACCCCTGTCAATGTTATATTGCCGTCTGTGCCCCCGCTAGGTAAATTCACCCTCTCTATCTGTCCTAATGACTAGAGATGAGCCTGGGCTTGGCGCAAACCCAGTTTACCTGAGTTCACCCAAGCCCACTCACACCTGTGACTGGCACTCCCCCCACCCCTCCTGGCCCAATTTGTGGTGGCAGTTGCAGTGGGGACATTCCCTGCCCCTTTGTGATGTATAGCTGTGGAGCAGGGCATGCACCTCTCCACAGAAGATTGGGCCAGGAGGAGGGGGTGGTAGTCACAGTTTTTAGTAGACATGGCCGAACTGGGTTCGCACCAAGCACTGGCTCATCACTGCTAATGACTATTGTCATCAAGACAGAAAGTAATGGAAATTTTTAAATGTTACTGTTGTTACCTGGACAGAAATAAAGAGGAACTCTTTCAATATGGATAGCAGTCCCAGTGACAGCTGTCCACAGCTGGCCATACAATATCCAATCTGATTGTACAATTCCCTTTAAATCGACCATCAACTATGTAATGCTAGGGCCTGCCTGATTTAATACAAACTGAATGAATTGTGTAGGTTTGTCCTGGTATTACATCATTTTGGTAAATCTAAAGGAGATTATACAATCAGATTGTATTGTGTCTGGCCATCTTTAGAGGTAATTCTCCTCTGTTTGCAGAACTTTTCTCTTCTTGTTGTGTCTTTAGGACAGGAAGTGAAGGGAAATAACCCCAATGGAACAGAGTCAGCAAAACATAAACTGACTTTGCATATCCTCTGCTCTACCATGACTGAACTTTGACCTAGTGATAACCTCTGCGGAGTCATGCGTTTTCAGTCAAGAGAGAGTTAATTAATAAACTATGAGAATTCATTCTTGGATGGAAAATCAACCCTTGTCCCTCCTATTCTGTACTGAATTGGCAATGGTGCCATGAAAACAAATGTCATTGCTTAGATGAATGAATGTGCATTGCAGTATTTTATAACTCTACGCCCTGTCCGGCACTGACTACACCATAACCTTGCAATCATACATCAGCAGTTTCATACTGACAGTTATGTAAAGGTGCCCATACACTGTACGATTCTCGTACGAGAATCGCAGGAAATCCCGCGATCGTACGAGAATCGGACAGTGTATGGAAGGCGTGCGACCGTTTCTACTGTACGGTCGCACGTCTTCCATCGAACGAGCAGGCTGGAAAACCCGCCGGGAATCGTACGATTCTTGGCGAGTTATTGGCCTGCTTGTTCGACAACTGACGAACGGGCCGGTGTGCGCCCGTTTGCCGTCCTTGCAAGCCCGCCCCTCATTGCAATCATCGCAAGCCTGCCCCTCAAGGGGGCGGGCTTGCGATGATCGCAAGTACGATCTGCCTGTCCAAGATGGGCAGATCGTACGTTTTTTTTAAATACTTTACAACCCTCGCAAGACAAAAGTCTTGTGAGGGTTGTAAAGTGTATGGCCACCTTAACACTGATCTTCACCTGTTTTAATAAAGTGCAGGTGTACAACATCCACACTGAATTATACAGTCCACCTGTCTCATGTGTATAGCGTTATGCTAACTGGATTATGGCGACTGGATTGACCATAAACTTGGCAAAACACATGGCAATTTCCTGCACACTTCAACCACTTCAAGCATCCTTCAATTACAAAAGCAACAAACAACAGTGTAGCCTACCACCTACTAAAACCGTTGGTTACTGGCACTGCCATTGGATATAGTGCTATATTAGCAATTTTACCACCCTATAATCAAAATAGAAAAAAAGAGCATTGAAGGATACAGTAGCTATACTTTTGAACCACCTAAGCCGAATGATCCCCTTGCTTTCTCATACTATGTATATTCCGGGGTATGTATCTTAGATCCACGGGTGTAACTATAAATCATGAGCCCTATAGCAAAACTTTGGTGCCCTCTGGCTAACTCTATCTGTAACGGCTGGCAGTGTCACCTATGGCAATATGTGCCAGTGACCTTGACATGAAGTATGTATCAAGGACAGGCAGCAGAAGAGCTGTCAGCATAGTCAGTACACCAGTGACGTGCGGTACCTTTGGTTCCGGGTGAGGCATTGCCCAGCCTCGCCCCCAGCCCACCTAAGCCCCACCCCCAACCTAGTCCCCAAGCTAGTGTGAAGGAGGAAGGGAGGAGACAGGGAGGAGCCTCCCTGTCCCTCACTTGCTTGTCACTGCTGAGGCATTGAAATCGATGGCCTCCGTGTTTTTTTTTTCTTTTATTGATTGGACAGCTTGGACCAATGGCGCTTTGCCATTGATCCAAGCCATCCACAGAGCTCACGTCTCTAACAAAGAGAGAGTAGAGGCTGTGACAGCTCTTGCCTCACTAGTTAGGTTACACAAGCAGTGGGGAAGCCTGCTGCTGTGTAACCTAAATACCTGCCAAAGGTTGGATGCAGCGCTGCCTGTAATTAGCAGGCAGTGCTCCGTCCATGACAGGTCACACAGCGGGGAGGATTTCCCTCCTGTGTAACCTGCTAGAAGCCGATTGAGTGGAGAAAAAGCTGTCAGCTTCAGATTTGAAGCTGACAGCTTTTTCCTCCATAATACTAGGTGAGGCTCTGCCTCACCCACCTCCCCTGACCGCACGTCCCTGCAATACACTACTAGGGAGCAATGATGGGGGTAGGCAACACTAATAATAATAACCATAATGATATTAATGATTAATTATCTTGCAACACTTACTCTTTAACCCTAATACAAACTTCCTTAAACTCCAGCTTTATTAAACTTTTTTTAGAACCACAAACCACAGCCCTTCTATAAGGTTTTAACATGAGCTGCTATGGTCATTTTTACTAGACTCCTTAGACCAGGGAGGCTTGGTACAGGTTTTCTTACGAGCTGTCAGGGCCCTGTCATACTGGACATGGTTGACCTATTCACTGCAGGCCGTAAAGAAAAAACTGTCTCCCTGCAGGCTTGCAATAAAGGGCTTCTCCGTTAGGGTCTATGGAGTACTGTCCAGCCCTACCAAGCTTGTACTCAGATGTCTATATGAATGAATAGCAGTGCAGAGCGCGTGCATAAGCCAAGCCAACAAGCAGATGTGTGATCTAATGAGTGATCTCTTGCTAGATCAAGGAACAGGTGAGTACTGTATAAGACTGGGATGGAGGAGCTGTGGACAGGGAGGGGGCTACCATGTAACTGTAACTACATTTACACTTTAAAGTAAACCTTTGCTCCGAGAGATAAGAGAGCTACCATTGCTAACCTGCTTCTGACAATGCTAGCTGCCCGGCTGGTATGCTGAAACAAGTACAGGTGAGCTACTGGATTCAAACATTCAGAACATCAATCAGAACTTGATAAAGCACAATGGCTCCGGTGAGGCAGCTCTCAACAAAAATGGGATATCCCACCTACAAGGGAGTCCAGAATTGAAGATACATGCATATATATATATATATATATAGCCCAATGAGCACACCAAACAAGACAGTATAACAGTCCAAAAACTGATTCACTTATTGTGGCTATATCCTACACAGCAAATAATGAATCCTTGGTGATTTGTGCCAGTGTTGAGTCCATAATACTACTCATCAAGTTTAAGCCCAGAGGAAGGGGAAGGGGAAGGTTTTTGAACCTCTAAAGCGTGTTGGCTCTTCTGTATTGTCATTTATGAACCCATTCTACAGTAAACTTTCTGTTATCTGGTATTCAGCTAACCAGAACTCCCATCTAACGGGCAAAAAAAAGATCCCCTGTGTACTTACTGTTTTGCCCATCTGCCAACTTCTAGGAGAGGGAGAGAGGGTTCTGGAGCATGGAAAGGTACAGGAATGGCAGAAAAGTGCTGGATTATGCTGGGAATGAGTGCCTGAACGATCTCTGAAAAGTGCTGGATTACCCTGGAAACGGGTGTCTGATCGATCATTTGTGTTATCTTGTGAACAAGTGCCACCTAGTGATCACTCCCAGTACTGCAATGTATTGCTAATGGTTTAGAGTACAATATAATGTTATAATATGGTATAGTATGGGGTAGGGATGCACCGATACAAGCATCGGTATCGGTGGCGATAACGAGTATTTGCATGAGTACTCGTACTCGTGCAAATACTCCGATACATAAAACGAGTACCTGTGCCGCGTCCGCCCTCTTCAGGGACCCGAATCCGCCGCACACAGGACCTCCATCGCGTCTTCAATGAAGCAAGATGGCCGCGACCTCCTCTGTCATCTGCTCCATTCTGACCTCTTCTCACGCTGATTGGCCGATTGGATGATTGACAGGCTTCCTCACCAGTCAGGAGTGACTGGTGAGGAAGCCTGTCATCATCCAATCGGCCAATCAGTGGAAGAAGAGATAATTGGTATCGGCGAGTACTAAAAAAAAGTATCGGTACTCATACTCGGCCTTAAAAAAGTGGTATCGGTGCATCCCTAGTATGGGGTATAGCATTAGTTAAACCCATTTTTAATAGTAACTCTCAATCAACCAGAAACTAAATTTATCTGGAATCTACCAATCCCCGTGTATGCCAGATAACGGGGAGTTTACTATATTATTAAATGTTTTTGAACTCTAATAATGCCTTGATTGGCACTCTCTTGGACTGTATATATGGATGGTATGCTGACCCTCTGTCTTTAGTACTTTCCAGGTCACTATCCCAGGACAAGTTTTCATATCAGGAAAGTCATCTCAGTGACATAAACTGGCCATACACTGTTAGAATTTCATGCAGATGTTTGTTGGAAATTGTCTGAGCATTCATTCTTGCCATCATCAAGTCAACTAATTTTGTTGAACCAAAAATTCCATCCAGACCTGCTCCTTGAATGGAATCCCTGATATGTTCAACAGGATTTTTCTGTGCCTAGCACATGCGCATTGCAATTGGTACAATTTTTCCAGAACGAACATCACATTCATAGTTAGGATTTCACTTGTTCAGATAAGAAATCTACCTCATTCAAAACGAACATTGACTGGACTCCACTAACCATTAGAAGATTGTACAATTGTTCCGACAATAACAAATTTAGACCAAAATCCTACTGGTGTATGACCAGCTTTACAGTATTGAAGCCAGAGGATCAGTATTTGAGCCATGCAGGTAAGCAATGGTATCCTCCATGTTTCTCTCATTTTTCATTGCCTTAGGCCTTGTTCACACCAAGCGCGTTCCAGGAGCAGAGCAGTTACAGACCGGATCAAAACTGCGTCCAATGTATTCCAATGGTATTTTGGGCTCTGGTTCACACCAGAGCGTTCAGTTCCAGAGCATGTAAAAAAACAGCAGCATGCACTATTTTTCCTGCTCTGAAACGCTCTGGAATGCATGCAAATGCATAAAAAACACATGCAAACGCCCTGGAACGCACTGAAAGTCTATTCTAGGCAAAAAATAAATAAATGTTTAAAACTAAAACAGCCTGGAACGCATTAAAAACGCAGCACAACCCACTGCACTGCGTGTGCAGAAACTCATGCAGATCTGGTCTGCATTTGGTGTGAACAAGTCCTTATACATACTAAAGATTTTGGCTTTGTTCCCCATAGACAGGCAGACCCGACTCTATTTGTCTTTTAGTTCTCTCTTGTCTTTTTCTTTTATACCTGATATCAAAAGCAGAGCCAAGGAATGATGGTCTGCGGGTCTCCACGGTGGAGGCTGTGTATGGAGGCTGTGGGTCAGTATCGTTCCAGTATATATCTTTTTCCAGTGGGGGCAGATTCTGGTGCATTTCATCCACTGCAATCATAGAGACCTGGAGGAGAGGGACACAGCAGTGGCCATGAATTAGATTAACATGGAAATAGTTTTTTTTTTTTTTTACAGTGGAAAGGATTAGAGCTTCTATAAGATTGTTATCACTGTTTGTGTCTCTTTTAGCTCTCTTCTCTCACCTTCCTGTTTCATTAACCACACAGGAAGTGAGGAGAAGATCTGTAATGGAGACACAGGCAGCAATAGAACCTTTCCCTGCTCTACAGAAAAATCCTTTATCCTGTCTATGACCACATTAGGGAGAGTGTGCTCACTTCTGAGAGAGCGTCCAACCTTTCCCTACTTGATCCACAAATTAAAAAAATGGTTGGCATTTCACTGTAATGAGAAGTCCATACTAGAAAACAAAACGCATATCACAGATATTTTAAAATTATAACTCTATAGTTATATCAGCATGTTTCCGTCCCCAGGAATATAATCACCTATCTTTTACTTGCCTGTTTCTTAGTTTAAAAAATAAAAATACCTGGTAATTCTGGGTATGGAGGAGCAAGCGACTTACTCCCATATTCTACTCTCATATAAAAACGTGGTGCTT